ACTTTTCAAATTTCCTAGTTGGGTCAGTCATTCCTACAGTTCGTCCCTGCCCCCAACTGTTTAAATTTCCTGGTCTGGCAAGCCATTCCTACAACATTTGCAACATTTTGACAGAAAAAAAAAATCCGACAGCTCCTTACCCATATACTAGCCGACAGTTCAACAGACACATATTCTAAAATCCCCCTTTAAGTGAAAGTGAACGTTGAAGACAAGAAATGGCAGAAACTAATTTTGAAGATAAAGTAACTGACACAACCTGTAACCGATGTCTTCGATCATTGGATCGTGGAAAATTAAACACATTTTCACTGGAAATCAACACTTATGAAGTTACTTTAAATCTGTTAAAATTTTCTTTCTGAATACAGTGGCTGCTGAGCATTGTCAGTAAAGGTGAAACCAGCAGAACAAGTAATTATACACTGTAAAACCCAAGAATGTTCGACATTTTTATAAACTAAACACATTAAACATTTGAACACGCGGTGCGCTTTCACATGAACGTGTGTTATATAAAGTGCTTAGCATCAGGACATTAAACGCCTGTTTATAGCGGCTTAAAACGTGAATTCCGTTATTTGCCGCCAATATTCTTTAGTGTAGATGAAATTCCAATCTCACTCTGTAAGTGGTTCATTTAAGCTGATATAACATGTAATAATATAGATGCAGATTGGATAATCAATTGCTTATCTCACCAAAAATAAACACCGTGTTTAGCGATCCGTCCAGTTGTACCATCGAGCGTTTAAGACGCACGACCTAGGTACATACGCTGTATGTACCGTACACGCACCCGCATGCGCACTTCGGTCTCTTTCCGCGTCCCCCGCACGTCGGCTGGCTGTTAGTTGCAAATGTAGAGAAATCGGACTGTTTTAGAGTAGCATTAATCGTTTCTTACAAACGTTTGTGCATAAAATGTGCATTGATATTTCAGGATCCCAGATGGGTAATAATTTTCAGAAAAATAAGGTCTGTCAACAGTATTTCAACCATTATAGCAGTTGGCTTGCCACTCTCCACGTCACTATGTATGACTTACACACGTGTCATTGTTACCCAATGATTTGCAGTAAACACAAGCTGCACCCTTTATAAATGTATCAAAACAGACGTTTTACAGCGCGTACAGGTGTAGGTGTTTAGGTAATAAACACACATGAACGGGTGTCTTATGAACAAGTGTTTAAAAACCTAACATACCCATATATTTGATCACAAACTTACCTTGCGTTGATTAAATAAAATGGTGTGTTCGGCTTATAAGCATGTCGAATGTGTTTATTTGTAAACGTGTCAAAAGTGTTACAGATATGCGTTTAATTGTGGTTTGAAGTTAAACGCTTAGGTTTTACAGTGAAGGGCATAAATGCAAACTTTAAACATGATACAATTGTTCCCCTGCCTGCATTTCTTTTCCAGAATAAGCTCATTCTGATCAATGGTTTGCAGCCAAATCGAAAGTAAGACTTACGTACGTGCACCTTTTTAAATTATGTGAAGTTTGTTCATTATTTTAAATGTCAGCTGTCTTCATAAAAAGTTATTCACATCTTTCTTAAATTTACCCTGCGACGCTGTATGAATTTTTTCTCACACTGTCTCGGGAACGGACTCGCCAGGTGAGTCCATATCATTTCTCAGGGTTGCAGAGCCCTGAGTCCGTCCTGAAGGTGTATTAGTGCTTCAATAGTTGTCCCCTAGCCTCTACAGCTCTTACAAACCACCAAAAGTGTATCACAGTACCGAGGGGGCCGTTTTCCCAGGCTATCCCGATTTGAGGGGGGGCCTTGCCACGCGCCAGCCAAGCCACACCACCACAACAACACCCGCCCCCAACCAAAATAACACTTCAGAGGCCTCTGACAAGTTCCAGACAGCCGTCACTGATAAGAAACATTCCACTGTCTGCCCGAGGCACCGCTTTGTAAACAATCCATTAGATTGTACACAAGAGCACACTTAGCACACAGTCCTATGGGAATTGGCTTGAGGCCGGCTGAATTTTTTTATTTTTTTCTGGCTAGGGAAGGCCCTGGCTTTAAAGCGACTAAACCAGGTTTTTCAGTATGTACAGGGGTAGGATATGATAAGTAGTCGTTGCATGTGGACGAAAAAAAGATTACACGTTAACTAGCTCCAATGGACTCGCCCAAAGAGGCCGCTCCCTCTTCCCAGGGCCAATGATACCATAATTTGTTGAACGCATTCATGCAAAAGAGACACAAGCTTTCTTAATCCCACGTTAAAAAACACCAAATCTCTGGCGATGCAATGCTGTCCATACTTCAAGTATCTAGACAGATATGATTGGCGGGATTCACAGCCTAAATGCGTAGCAGTGGTTAATAAATTTGTGGAGAAGGTTTTGTTTTAATATCAAACCAAATAAAGAAAAAATAACTGTGATAGCATTCATTATAAGGAAATCAACCAGGTTTCATTTTTTCAGTGACTCCAAATTTATCTTACAATAATGAAACTGCCATTATTCACAAATTAGTACGAGCGAATTTGTCGATATACAGGAAATATCTCGATTACAACTGTAAGGGCACAGTCTACCACAAGGCATGAAGCTCATTTTTGGAAGTTGCAGGTTCCAACATGTGAAGCAATGCAGTAAAAGTTGTCAAGAAAGGTAAACTTTCATGGATGAATTATGTCCACCTACAAACAAAACATTTTTAAAAATTTCGTTTCATATAAAAAAGTGTCTCATTTTTCACTTTCCTCTCAATTTACGTTACAATTTGAAAATCACATTTCAGTCTCCGAACAAGGAAGCAGGTCAATGTGATATTTATCAGAGATATCTTTACATTTACGACTGCAGTGGTAAAATTCATTCATATCTTTTTTTTTATTTGTTTTTGCTCAAGCCCTGACTGAAAGCTGTGCCCATAAAAATTTCAAAAGCAAGAGAAAAGAAACAAAAACAACTTTGACTTACTCAAGACGACTGCTGCTAGGGGAACCCAAGCCAAACGCTGAACCATCTTGGCCAAATGGGTGTTGTGCCTGATGGCAATGGCGTAGACTGAGACTTTGAAATAGCCAGGTAGAAGTCGTCACGGTTCTTCTGTTCACTCTGAGATGTCTACTGATTGAGGGTACACTGAAGTCTCTGAAGTCATTCCTAATGCGTCCAAGCCCGATCGTGTCTGGATCCGCACTAGGGCCAGGTGTCAGGGTCTCGGGTAGTTATAGTTTGGAGTGGGTGCTGGACGAAATTCGACTGCGTAGCAAAATTTCATTATGGCAATTTATCATCACGTGTCATTATGAGCTTCAAAGAACCCATGAAATTATGCGAGTGGAGGGCCATCCCATAATTGAACATGTGGCAAATGCGCCATTTCATGTACATTTTATAATGTGTGAAAGCTCCCTTAATTAGGAGACACCAATTCAACCGTATACAGCCAGTAAATGACAAGCCGTTTAATTGATCACATCTAAAGGGCACGAACTCTCCAAAAGTGCAGCATTGCGGAGGAAAGGGTTTACAAAGTTGGAACGTGGTGGAAGGACACAGAAGGAGTTTGAACTGACCAGCCATTAACAACAAGGAGGCCCCTTTGAACCCTTGATCATCGCTGCAATTCTTTGCTTGTAATCTGCATCCTTAAAACTTTGGGTACTGAAGTATAAGAAATGGAATATATATCTTTGTTCGTATTTTTGTGATCTCAAAGCAGCATGCGTGCTCGCGCAGTTGCTTGTGTTATGCCGTGTGCCCTAAATGATCATGAGCAGTTGTTGCCCTTCTCAGACGTTTTTTTCTGGAGATGTTTTGGAAATAAAAGATTTTGTGTTTTATTTGAATAATTTTTTTACGACCGCATTTACACGAAAGTGTATTTTATTGGATTTCACAACCACTCCTTGTGATGAAATGGCGCATTTTGTCAAATTGTGTACTTAGCTTTCAAGTGGTGGTAAACATGTTGTTGGCGAGTCTTAGCCATATTGGAGCCAAGTCTTTGAAAACTGATGTTTTGGAGGGACAGCACATAACATTACAAACATTACGTAGATAATGGAGCAGTGTGTCAAAGTCAGTGGCGTACGATATCCATCTGTTGGTGTGGGAGGGGCTTCAAAAGCAAACACACTTTGGGGCTCATTCAACATGATAATGCGGAGAATAGTCTATTTATATGATAAAGAAATATACCTAGTAGCCCCCCCCCCTCCACTGGATATGCCACTGGTCAAATTAACAAATTTTTACGATTGCAAAAGAAGAGTTCCTAGGGATTTTTCTTCTTCGGTTTCCTGGTCACAGCGACAAGTTGTAGTTAACTGCAAGCAAAACACCACAAGTGTCGCTAGGATATTACTAGCCCAACTTGTCCGGCTAAGCTTTTAGTAATAATCAGGTATTTGTGAAATGCTTTCTGCAGACTGAGGCTAGGGGCGTCGTTCATCGAGCAGTTCAGAGTTTACCTCCTTCTGTACCCTTCCTCCGTGGTTGTAAAAGGCCCAGATGGGATGAAGGCAAGTTGGCTCCAATAAAATGATTGTCTACTGACAAAATAGGTTCCGTGAAGGTGTAAGGGGAGAATGGTCTGTAGCGTCCAATTATTGAGAATGTGAAATAATAACAGTATGCGATCTTTTAATATCGGACCATTGGCTCAATTCAGGTGGGCTCATTGGCAAACCTAGGGGGCTGCCGGGGGATACCCCCCCCAAAAAAATAAACACCAAAAGAAAAGGTTTATAGCTGAACTTTGCCCAATGAAAATGATCGTGATTTGACTGGTTTTAATGGATTCGATAAAGTAAATGGTAACTCCAAGTTTTAGACATTGCATAACATGGTTAATGAAGAAATGAAAAAAAATAATTTGGGCTAAGTGTCTCTCTATGAAAGATTGACTAAACGTTGCAGCTACAAGTTACATCAAACCAGCGCCGTTGGGGCAAAGTTTCCACCTGAGAACAATGTTGCCATTTTTAGCCCCTCCTCGTTAACATCGTTAAAGAAACTGCAGGCGCAAAGACTTCAAATGGTTTCAATTATTCCTTTCTTTTCAGGGAATTATAAGACTCGTTTACGGATGGAAACACTATCTCTAATCACTAATCGCTACACGAGGTTTCACACCTGAATATTGCAAATGTGCCAGCTCTGCACATGAGGGATGGAGCTTAATATTGGAACTGTTGGGGAGCCAACTGAAGTTGCTCCTGCGTGCTTTTCCTTTTTTCCGTCGAAATACAAAGCAACAGCGCTCCGCTGCACGTATCTCGAGAACATTCAAACTTGCGTACTTACGGTTCCGAAAACATAACGTTTTCCCTTGTAAACTTTCGAAGCCATTTCATACGCGGTTGTAAAGCCATTCTGTGTGTGGAGATGGACCCTTCACACGCCACATCTTTTGCTTTTAACTTAACTACTGCTCCATCATGTTTGCATGGTGGCTAGACAAATGTTTGCTGGAAAGCCCACCCCAGTAGAGTAGCCCCTGAGCCATATGTATCAGATTCAAATTTACAACAGGGTGTTGGTGATGATGGTAACAAAAGTAATGAGGGGTAAGTGCATGGCATTGTTAATGTTAAAAGCGGCATCATTTCTCACTTTAAAAGGCCTTCAGTTCCATCGCAAGGCATTTCTGCAGGCCCCGTCACTATGACAACATCCTTTGTCCCGCCAGCTCGTAGAAAAGATGATGACGTGGGTTGCGGTAACCAGGGCGTGACCAATTCGGGAAATAACCACGAAAGAAGGCAGGAGTTTTTGCTGCATCCTATTTTTGCGCGATCATCCGTTATTCCTCACGTTTATGTACCTAGCCTTTTCTCGCACCCGGTGAATTAGTATTTATGGAGACCCTGTGAAATACGTTTTCACGGGGTCTGCTCGGTAATCTTGATCCAATTACAAAACCAAATTTGGCCAATAATATTATTACGTCCCTCGGAGGCCCATGTGAGCTTTATACACAGAATTTGGCTCAAGGCAATTAAATGGTCGAGGTGAGCAGGAATTCCTGTAGCACTGCAGCGACTTCAGGAGATAAAATTGATATAACCCTCAATAGTCTCTGCCGCAGTTTTTTGGCATCTGCAGCTGGGTTTNCGTATAACTTTAGCTAGGCCCCGTTGTTAGTGGAAAAGTGGAATTGATGCTTTCATCCTGGCGAAATAAGTCATACTTATGCATTATCCATGATTTTGACCCAAAGATTCGATTCGAAAATCCGATTGCCCTCAAACTTTACAAAGGGTCTCGAATAAATAACTAATAATAATAATAATTACCGAAAACGGGTCACTTGGGAGACTTTCCTATAGGCACGTGCACAAACTTTACTGTCCCATAGTTAAATATTCCCCAATCTGATCTGGACCAAACTTTGTATGTTTTCAATTTAGACCCTAATCTATCATCTATCAAAATTTGGACGGTAAAATTTGGCCCTTTCTGGTAGCTGGGGCATTAGGGAGACATTGAAATATCTCCCTAATGACCGATGTCTCCCTAAGGTTGAAAAATTTACCACAAAATGTCTCCCTAATGACCCATTTGTAAGAATAATTGTATAGGTTAGAGTTTTTACAGGTTCTAAAATGTGTGGTCTTGGTAGAACAGAATTTATTCGTGAGGGGAAAAAAGGCTCTGTGAGTACAGAAATGTGCCGGATGTGCAGGGGATTGACTTACATGTTTCCCGAAACAATTTTTTTTTCATTCCAAGTACTCTCCAAAGGTGGCACTGAAAAAGAGTGAAAAAAAGAGAAATTACTTGTATCAAGTTACTACCGAGCCACTGTAAAACAAAAACGTTGACCGAGCGGGTTCAGAACCAACCGTGAAGAACCAATTTTTGACATCCAAAAAATTCTGAGTGGCACCTTTATGATCTTGCCTAATGATAAGACTAATTAAGGGTCTTTTCTGCACTTTAGGAAGGAGAGAAATAGAATATTCCCAAAGATTCGGTGATCACACCCCCACCTGCATCCGCCAGTGACAAAATCAGTCCCATTCATTTTCCAGTGGTGAGCCATAAAAAAAAGTTGTGCGACTGTAGAAACAACTGCCGGGCCAGGCGACGTTGGGGTCACAAAAAAGCAAAAAACAAACAAACAAAAAGCGACCCAGAGATACTAAAAAGAAAAGATTAGGAAAAAAAAACACAACAGAGCCCAGAGGTGGGGATAGAAGGTAATGTTTTATGTGAAGCCATTTCCTTTTGTTCTCTCATAGACAGGTAATTGATAGGCCTACTATGTACAGCAGATAATTACAGGCGAACAAAAGTAAGGCCTATTAAATAATTCAGTTACTCTGCGCTTTACGATCGGGTGTAAAATATGCAAGCAGTCAGATGTGTTTCCTGTTTAGTTTTGACAGATGTTCAGCAAAAAGCATCCTGGGTTTTTTTTCCTGGAATGGTCGATGTCCAAGATGATATATATCATAATAATATAAAGGATGTCGCCTGATCGGCGACAGGTTGAAAAGAAGTTTTGTGGGGAATAGATTATAACGGCACTTTTTATGTTGCCGTGACTATACATGTAGCTACTTGAGAGACTGTTATGCCAGATGAGATACAAGCGTCATTGATTGATGCAGTAATTTAGCACGACCATTTATAAATAGATAGCGCCCTCTATTGGCCACAGTTTTGTAGACCATATTCAAGGCGTCCCCAATTTCAGTCATTGGTGTATTTATTTGAAAACGTTAAATTCGAAGAACCAAACTCTATTCTACGTTTTCATTCCGGCCCCCAAGATCACCTGGTACTATCGTATTACGGGTTTCAAATTTATACGGTACGTTCAGGAATACGACTGAAATTGGGGACGCCGCGAATACGGACCGTTTTCCAATACTCGACTTGGGCACCGTCTCAGGCTTCAACTGTTTTTTACCTCCTGACTGAATTTGAGGTTATAAGCGCAATAGTAAGTCTGATAGTGCGACAAAACATTAAGTAAGATGCAAAAAAGCCAAACTTTACAGTATTTCAAATTAAGTTAAACGCTTCAGGCCCACAATCGAGGATTGGTTTCCTACACGAAGCCTAAAACGGAGACAAAGTTGAGTGTTGGAAAACGGCCACGGTCTCATGATCCATAGTACATTTTTCTCTCTCTCTTTAGCTTCCTTCCAGGCGACGCAACTACACGCTGCGACGGCACGACGGCTCCCTTGCGTTGTGCTGTCGGGTCGCATCGTCGCTTTCTTGTCATTACGTTTGTACACACACGACGCGTCGCGTGGTGCGTCGCGTCGTGCCGTCGCCCGTCGCGTCGTGCTGTCTCAGGTCCTTTCCATGTTGCATTTTTTCCCGCCTAAACATCGCCCCTTCCGTCGCCTGTCGCGTCGTGCTGTTGTGCGTTGTGTCGTACTTCGTGTCGTGCATCGTGGCGCCTGAAGCACGACACGACGCGACGCGACGCGACGCTGTCGCCCTTTACTTCATGGTGTTTATAGAAGGCGCCTTTACTGTTTCATTTCCGTCCACCTTTCTTACAAAGTACATGAACATGCAATTTGCTCTTTGGTGTTGATTTTCCATTGTTTTTATCTCATCAATTCATTAATAGGCATTCATTTCAGTCATATTTTATTGAAAAAAATGGTAAAAGAGCAAAAGAAAATCCGAATAAATAGGAATTGCTCTTTCAAAATAAGTGGAAACCGCAAGCTCAGAATTCGTCACTCCTCAATTTCCCAGCCAATGATTTCTTTTTTTTCTCTAATTTCCGTCCAACGCGCTTGCAAAATACATGCCCTGAGCCGAAGGCGTGATTTTTTTTGGGGGGGGGGTGTTTCATCTGTTCATCAAAATGAATTAGCTTTGTCCTATTTTATCGAAAAAAAAATGAAAACGAGCAAAACGAAAATCTGCGTATGTAGGTGCTCTCACATGTGTAAGCCCAGAATTCGTCACTTATAATTTACCCGGCTGATCCTTGTTCGAATGTCCGTCCAATATCTTTTTGACCGTTGATGAAGTTCCCATTTGTGGTATATTTATAACCTTATTAATATTTCTATCACAGGTTGGCTCTCGACTGTCATAGTCAAGACCTGTGCTGGTTCAATAAATTCTTTTACAAGGAAATCTGCTTGAAAGAATCCAAGCGGACAGCTTCTTATGTTGATCCTCAAATAATCTTATTGCAAGAATACACTAAAAATTCAATCACTCAAAGCACATGGCGATATACAAGGAATACCAACGATGGATAGACAGGCAACTTAAAAGATACACAAAATTCAAAACAAGATTCAAAGCAATCCAATCAATAACTGGAAAGGAACAAAATGACTTACACAGAAAAAAATTTAATCCTTACACAATCAAGAATTAAAAACCTAAATCAGGCTTAGCTGTGATCTTGATCTTGCTTGATCTAACTTGACCATTGGACATGGATGCAGCTCCAAGTCCTTCAAGTTGGTAGTCCTTTGCTAGGTCAAGAGACTCACAGATCCAGCATGGTGATGGGGAAAAGGGTCTAAGTGAAGACGGTAGAGAGACGAACCGGGTCGGCTCCCCAAAGCGACATGACCTATGGGCAAGTACCCTGCACCAACAGAGCACACAGGTCAGTGATGAGAAGGAGAAAAGTTTCAACAACTTTTGTCTAACAAGCAAAGTGCAGACAGCACTTGGAGACAGCCTTCTCATCAGGTCTCAGATCGCTTCTGAGGAGGACAGGGCGACCTGGGCCTCTTATAACAGGTGGGCCCATGTGCTCGGAACTCTTGATGCAGTATGGTTTTTAGTCACTAAGTTTTCTTGGATAAGGAATGATCTCATCTTTCGTAAATAAGACTTTCTCAAGGTCACGTACCAGGATGTGGTCTCAATTTTATAATCAGTTTAAGGTTATTCGCCCACTTCTCAGATGGATTGGCCAAGAAAACAAATGGTCAGTCAGAAAAGGAAAAAACCACGGGAAAAGTGGAAACATATAGATGACTAATTAGGCAGATGGTTTCTCCTGTCCGGCCTTCTTGGAGAAGGGTATGCTGTGGTCAACACACTTCCGTGGGTATGACACTTAGTCAGACCCAACATTTTCAAGTGGCATTCTAACAGTGTCCGACATTTCTCTGTGGTCCATGCCAGCAGTTTCCAAGTAGCTCTCCCACTCCTCCAGACAATTTATCTACAATTGTACGACCACACGTTTGACCACGGGTTTAGGTAGTTACCACCCAGCCTGCACTATATTATTACCCTCAGAATATTCAGTCTTCGTTCAGTTTAGTCTTCCTCGTTAACTTCATCAGCACCACACTTTCAATGATATTAGTCCGCCGGCGTGTTTCTTAATAAAACACTGCAGATCCGGCTACCGTTGTGACGTTGTCTTTTCTTCCTCTCTGTTTGGCCTCGCGCTTAATTTCTCATCAGATCCGCGTGTTACTTTTTTGCAAGCACGTAATAATGATTGACGTATTGTATCTTA